AGGATGGTTGAGCTGGAATTGGGATGGAGTGGGAGAACAATGAAAGAGATACCATGAAAAAGGAAGACATCATGGGGATAGGGAGAAACCAGGTGCTAGGGAAGTTCCCAGAAATCCACAAGGATGACCCCAGCTTAGACTACTAGCAGTAGTGGAGAGGGTGCCTGAACTGAACTGGTTTACCGCAATAATCAGATTAGTGAATACCCTAACTGTCATCATAGAGCCTTTCTTTATCCAGTAGGTGATGGAAGCAGATGCAGAGATCCACAGCCAGACGTCAGGCCAAGCTCCAGGAGTCCAGTCAAAGCGAGAGAAGAGAGATTCTATGAGCAAGGGGCATCAAGATCATGATGGGGAAACCTACAAAGACAACCAAATCAAACTAATGGGAACTCATGAACTTTAGACCAACAGCTATGGAGCTTCCACAGAACTGGACTAGGCTGCCTGCATAAGTGACACAGTTATTTAACTTGACCTGCTTGAGGGGCTCCCTGGCAGTAGGATCAGAATCCATCCCTGGTGTACGAGCTGGCTTTTTGGAGCCCACTACCTATGGTGGGACACCTTGTACAGCCTTGATTCAGGGGACAAGGAGGCTTGAACCTGCCTCTACTGAATGTACCAGGCTCTGCTGACTCCCCATGAAAGGCCTTACCTTGTCAGAGGAGGGAATGGGGGATGTGTTGCGGAGGAAGGCTGGAGAGCAGGTGAAGGGAAGAAGGGGATCTGTAGTTAGTATGTAAAATAAATTTAAAAATTTCTTAATAAAAAACAAATTAGAAAAAGATACTAAAAGAAGAAATTGATTAAGATGCTGGAAGATGGAAAGAGGTCCCATGCTTTGGATTGGCAGGGTTTAAATAGTGAATACGGTCATCCTTCCAAAAGCAATCCACAAATTCAATGCAATCTTCCATAAAACTCCTGAAGTAATTCTTCACAGAAATTGGAAAATTAATTTTAAATTTCATATGGGAACCCAGAAGACTCAGAATAGATAAGATAATCCTGAATAATAAAAAACACTACTGGAGATCACACTATCCCTAATTTCAAGTAATATTTCAGAGCTATACTAATAAAAACAGCATGACACTGGCATAAAAACAGATATATTGATCAAGAATGGAGGATGCACACATAGGCCCACATTTCTAAAGCCATCTGATTTTTTTACAAAGAGGCCAACAATACACATTGAAGGAAAGAGAGTGTCTTGAACAAATGGTCAGACTTGGTGACTATTTATAGAATAGAATTAGACCTTTATTTCTCACCCTACATAAAACTCAACTATAAATAGATCAAGGACCTCAACATAACACCCAACTCCCTGAATCTGTTCGAGAAAAAGTAGGGACACATGAAGGAACTTTCTAAATAGGACCCATCAGCATAAGCATTAAGATCAAGAAATGAAAAATGGGGCCTTGTGTGACTAGAAAGCTTTTGTACAGTAAAGGGTGCCATCATTAGAGTGAAGAGGCAGTCTGAATAATGGGAAAAAAAACTTTACCAGCTATACATCTGACAGAAGGTTAGTGTCTAGGATACATAGGAATTGAAATAAAACTAAACATCAAGAAAACAAACAAGTCAATTTAAAATTGGGGCATGGAAATAAACAGAGCTCTCAACAGATGAAACACCAATGACTGAGACGGGGTTCTTTTTGTAATGTTCAACATTATTAGCCATCAGAGAAATGCAAATTGAAACTGCTTTGAGATTTCATATTACCCTAGTGTGAATGGCTGAGAGTAAATAAAATAACAACAAATGCTGGGGTAGATGTGAGGTAAAGGGAACACGTAGTAACAGATACTGGGAGTGCAAACTGATACAGCCTCTATGGAAAGCATGGAGGTTCCTCAAAGGCTAAAACTGGTTCTACCATACAACCCAGCCACATTATATTTGGACATTTGCCCAATGGATTAGGTATCCTACTATGGAGATACTTGCTTGTTTGTGTTCATCTTTGCTCTACACATAATAACCAGGAAATAGAAATTGCTTAGACACCCACCAATTAATAAATTAATGATGGAAATGTATGTGTACAGAATAGAATGTTATTCTGCTAGTAAGAAAAAAAAATTGCATGTAAATGGATAGTACTAGAAATAGTCATTCTGATTGAGGTAACCTAGACCCAGAAAGACAAACACACATTTTTCTCTTATATGTAGAAGCTAGGTTTGTCTCTTTAGATATCTACATTTATGTTGAAGCACCCATAGAAGACAGGAAATTAATACGGGTCATGAGGGATGATTTGAGAGAGGAGAGATACAATGAAGATGGTATGAAGGAATACTGAAGAATAACAGAAGGAGAAAGATTCTGTAAGATGAGGGATGGGGATACAGGTATAGGGAAAGTATGAAGTGGAGTAACTAGCACCAAAGACATTTAGAAAACATGTGTAAAACCTACTAGTATAGAAGATTGCTAAAATACATACACATACATGTATTAACAAGAGGTTTAGATGGAATTACCATATAACAGGGGGAGATAGGAGGAAGAATGCTTTACCTGAATATCATAGCTTATCAGACAGAGTTCAGTTTTAGGAATAGGTTGCTGCTTTTCTGATTTGTTTGTTAACGGGGTCCCATATACTCCCAAACATTATAGGCTATTGTCATTGCTCTTGGTTACCTCCAGAATTTGATAATAAAATTCCATTTCTGAAGATACCACATACCTGAGTCAGAACATAGAGAAATCAAGCTGGTACCAAACAAAGCATCATCCCTACTGACTAGATTCCATAGTGCTAAAAGTTGTAATACAGGATACATAAAAAAGAAAAATCATCAGCTCTACCCAGCTGCGAACCAATATGAACTATAACAATGACTGGTCTGGGCTCCTAATAACCCCTACCTCTTAATAGTCTATTTCATTAAGATTGCATCAATGGGTTCCATTGATAAAATTAGTCCCCTCATGATACAATGCCCTTTCAATAGTGTCTAAGCAGGACACCAAACCTTCAACACATGAACCATTTGTTGAACACTTCATATCCAAATCATAATTTAGTAGTGAGTGACACATTACAAATAATCAGCAACTTATATTTTGGGTAAATATGCAATAAATATTTCTACTAAATAAACATATCTGTCAAATGGAAATCATTCCACAAGAATGAAATATCAAAGACACTCTCAAAGTACTTTAAAGGAAGAGATGGAGTGACTAGTCTTGCCTGGATGAATTAGAGAATAGACAAGGAAAAAGTAATTGATGCTGTTGCTTCTGCTGCTGCTGCTACTACTACTAGTGATGATGATGATGATGATGATGATGATGATGATGGTGATGATGATGATGGTGATGGTGGTGGTGATAAAGATGATGATGGTAATGATAAAAACAAAGAGGAGAAGGAAGAAAAGAAAGAAGAGTAATGGGAAACAAAAGAGGAAGAAGAAAAAAGTGAGAAGTGAAGGGAAAAGAAAGAAGTAAAGGAGGAGAGTTCTACCATTATCATCACCTGTGGAGTTGAACCATTCCAAATACATTTTTCATCATTTTCTCCTCCAGTCATTTCTATCCAATCTCATAGACTAATTATCATTTCTCAGCCACTCCAGAAATTTTCTTCTCATTGTTTTATTATCATTTTGGTTTAAATATGTGTAGATCTGCATGAGTATGAGTGCATACATCATTGAAATATTAAATATACTTCTCACTGTGAATTTTTGACAAAACCATGTTGCAAAACCCTATTACAGAGCAATAGATATTTGACTTTGGTAAACCAGAAATTTCTTCAAAAATCTGATTCTAAAATTAGAGAACATACACATAGTGCCTGAAATTGCAGTATTTTCTGTTCAGTTTCAGAAAATTCTCAAATGGTAAAATTGAGTTCCAAAATCCAGTAGGAACCTAACGTTCAGAGTTACCTATAAAAGTACTTTAGATATTTATCCTCACTGAGGCCTTTCTTTTGCTACAGATGGCCCATTCTGCCAAGTAAGAGAACTCCAGAAGGAAATGTCCCTGTTCCTATGACCTTTAACCTCTAATAGCCTATTGGCAGGAAATAAAAGCATAAGTGGCCAAAAAGTATGTCTCAACCTGCTTTAATGACTGTGGAAACACGAAAGCAAAAAGTGAAAAGAGTTGACATGAAGCTAAAATGACTCAAAAGTCCCCAAACCATGCAAGTAACTATCACGATATATCTTCTAATTCCATTTCACACTGGACATATCCAAAATTTGTGTTAATCACATGCATAATGACCTACTCAATAAAAAATAAGATAAAGACATAGAGGAGCTTTTTAGAAAATATATGTCCAAAAAAGACACATGATTAAAAACAAACTTTCAACTTATCTCTCATACCCTATTCCAACCTATCCATCCAGAGAAGACAAAAGGACGTTTAGGATATTTGAGTCATTGAAAGCTATAGTTGACATTTACAGTGGAGCACTCAAAGCTATCTGCACACAATTAGCCACTACTGACCCAAAGTTTTACCATGTAGCCTCCATGGAATGTAATCATTCTCAACAGCTTTCAAGAGAGAAGAAGAGAACACCTAGGACACAGGTGCCATTTCCTGAAAGAAGCACTTATCTGATCTTCATTGGAGCAGCATCAAGACTACAAGAATGATGTGGTTTTAAAAAGATTGGTTTCCTCTGACATTAGTAAAGTGTCCTCCACCTAAATACACACTATCTGAGTAGTCAGCCAGGATGAGTCCCTGGGAAAAAAAGAGCCTTTCTTTGCTGAAAGTCTTTATTTTTCAACCATCAAATGGTAAGTAACACTTTTTGAAATGCCCATTAAGGGTCAAATAATGAAACTGAGAGTCTCAGATTGTCCCTGGGATTCCTTAACTGAAGTTATTTCTCCCATCATCACCACAAGGCCAGCACCACTCAAAGACCAAAGTCAAGTGCTGAAAGGCCAGGTGAAATGGGAGTCAGGAGAACCTTCAATCACAATGCTCACCCATGAGAATAAGTCATCAAAGCACTCCTCGAGAGCTGCTGCATGGTGGTAATGAGCAGCAGAGTAGACATCCTAGCTTCTGCCTCCTTTGGGGAGCTCAAGTAGAACAGCCTAAGTGCTTCAGCCAATTTACAACAAAGCTCTCTATTTTGTCCACTTGTGGGATAAAAAATGTTTGTGAGCAGGAAAAACATTGCCCCAGACTAAAGGTCTCCTGATGAAATGAGTCCATCTATTAAGAAATCCTTCTGTCCACAGCTGTGCATGTGGTGTCTGTGTATATAACCTCTGTACCTGAGTCAATAAACAATAGGCATCTATAGCTGAGTGGTGATCACATAGGTCTTGGATAGAAGGATTCTTTTATATTTAATTCAACTGTTTGGGCTTACACTAGCCAATAATGACATAACTGTATAAGACAAGACTTATGGAAAGATGGAGGGATAAATACAAATGATGCAATCCTAGACATAATGATGGTAATGGTTGTGGATATATAAAATGTAAACTAAGCCTATGAACTTATGTGCAGTGAATAGATATTTACTTCAAAGGTAATATTAATACAAGAGAGCATCGTTGTAGGATGGCACAAAAGTGGTTCACTACAGCATAGAAGTATTAATGGAGCATAGATGTCATGTGGGCTGCTGTTACGATCAACAATCAAGAAGGTACCACACACTAGTCTTGTTTTCAAGGTCTATATCTCAAGAATGTCTAGGCAGTCACACATCAGTAGATTGTGGTTCAAGATGACAAAGACCAAGAAAGTTGTGAAGGTCTCTCATCTGTGAGGCTAAAGAGCACTGCAGAATGCCAACCAGTATGTATGGGCTCTGAGCTAGCCACCTTGCTTGGTTCTCCGTGATTTGGTTCATCTACAGTGATGTCACTCTGTAGTGAAAATATAGAAGATGGCAAACACAGATCTAAGGATACCAGGCAAGGGGAACTGTGCAGCTATGCGAAGCTCTTGCTCTGTATTCTTATGGCTTGCAAATGGCAATGAAATTGGTCTGTAGGGTAGGGAAGGTCTTCAGATTTGAATTTTTAGCCATGGGAACAAAGATGGTATGAGAGAAAACAGAAGGATAAATATGACGCATAACAGCTCCAGCCAAATCTTCTTCCAGCTGTTTATATGAGAAACCTAGCCCTGTTTGAACACCTGTATTCTCTGTCACTATAGACTGAGAAATAATTCCTACGCATAGTTAAAAATTTTTTTTTCTCTTCAACTTTTCAAGATGTAGGGTTACACTGAGTCCTTGCTGTCAAATTTTCTTTTTTACAATTTCCTTCTTCCAGATGTTTGTGTCATGAGAGATCATGAGTAGGAAGGAGATTGTTGTGACAAGCAAGTTCCAATGGGAAGATAATTTTATTTTAAAAAAATACTAGAAATGATGGATAAAAATTCCTTTTCAACAACAAAAGCTAAATTTTAAACTTAAGAAACTATGAAAATGAAAAAGCAAACGTAGGGATGTACAAAAGTAAATAGACAGAAAGGTAGACCCTGTGACATCCTAGAGAGTCGTTTCAGTTGAATTCTGAATGTGAAATAAGAGCCTAGTGAGACAACATTATCTGAATGCCTCACTGGACCCTAGAAAAGAAGATAACTAACTTAGCAGAGGTTTTATTTTATAAACAAAGCCTTAAGTTAGAAACAGAGAGCTGAGATTAAGAAAGGAGACTACTGTGTATCAATAGGACCCAGAAAATTATAGGCCAATTCGTGAAGACCCTGGGATTGGAAAAGGGAGTTTGTACTGTCACCACAGTACACCTGGAGCCCAGATTTAGTTTGAAAGAGCCACTTCGGTAAAGAGTTGGTCATAATCACTGTTGTTTTATAGTCTATTTTGTGTTGTATAACAGAAAGACACAGACTGGGCAATTTATAAGAGAAGAGTAGTTGGCTCATTGTTGAAAAGTCAAAGAATAAAGGATTGCATCTGCGACGGCCAGCTCTCTGTGTCATAATATGACAGAAGACATCATATAACAAAAGATAATTTTAAAAGGAGTAGGAGATGGCCAGATGTGCTTTTATAATATGGCCACTTATACAATGATTACACTAATTCATACTGGAAAAGTCCTCACTGCCCACTCATTTCTTAAAATTATCACCTCTTAACACTGCAACAAGCACTGGGACCAAGTTTTCAATACATAAACCCTGAGGGACACATTCAAATCACAGTATCCTACCTGCCTCCCCAAATCCATCTCATTCTCACAAACAAAATATGTTCATCTCATTCCATTCAGCTTCCAAAGCCTCAATTCATTGCAACACCAACTAAAATATCCAGAGTCCTTAATCCCATCAGTACCAGAAGTACCTCACAAAAAGATTCCAGGAGAAGTTTTTATAATAAAGGGTGAGGACTATACTTGTCTGTGGGCCTAAAGACAAATATTTGGACCATAATTAGGGATTGGGCTCATTTAGTTGGACAACAACAGGCACGCTAAATTGGCCAAGAAAAGCCCATGAAGTCTCAACCATACAAAAGTACTAAAGGCAGCTAAGGAATGCAGAGAGTAAGAAAAACAATCATCCCCATGGAAGAAACCACAAATTGCTTATGCAATACCACCTAACAAGGATACTTTTTCCTTGTTTTTAAAAACATTTTCGTCTATTCTTTAAGAAATTCATACACACATACAATGTTTTCCAGTCTCATTCGCCAACTCCCACTCCCCACCTCCAGCTCCTCTTAAATTTCCCCAGTATATACACCTCCTAACTTTTCTTTTCTTCTTGTTTTTGTTGTTGTTGTATCTTATGTTTTGTTTTGTTTTTCAATACAGGGTTTTTCTATGTGACAGCCCTGGCTGCCCTGGAACTCTCTTTGTAGACCAGGCTGGCCTTGAGCTCACAAAGGTCTGCCTGTCTCTGCCTCCTAAGTGCTGAGATTAAAAGCATGTGCCACTACCATCCAGCTTCCTCCTAACTTCTTGTCCTCTTTTTACTATAGCCCACTGAGTCCAATTAGTGCTACCCATACATGCATGGTTGTAAGACCATCTACTGAAGTATAGTAAGCCTATAAAGGACCATACCCCTGACGAAAATACATTCTTCCTCCTCTATCAATCTTCAATTGTCAGTAGATTCTTTGATATTCAGTTCCTTCTGCAACTTCTTCAAAAGGTCATCCATTGTCTGTATCTCTACCAGGATTCTGATCATAAATGGTATGTAATCCCTAGACTTTCCCTAAAGTGATACCAAAAGGTTATATGCTTCCCTCTTACTCAGAGATTCCATCTTTAATTATCTCCCCTTCCTTTTACTTTACTATCAACAGCCAAAAGAAGCCATAGCAGCAGCTTGGATGCTTAACTATGTAGATATTTTCTCTGTCATGTACCCCAATTTACTGCTCTTGGGTTCTTCCTTTTATAAAACCCAGTTTATAAATAACAGAAGTTTGTCTTACAATTATGGAGGCTGGGAAGTCCCAGGTCAAGGAGTTATATGTGATGATGGTCTTCTTGCTACATTATAAGCAAGGCATCGCATGGGACAGAAGTATACAAGAGGGGACAAGAAGAGACAAGATGCAGTTTTACAACCAACTCACTCTTGCAATAGTGATCTGAATCCATTCATAAAGACAGAGTCCAGTGACATAATTACTACTTAATGGAGTACCAATAGGATCTAGAAAATAAAAGACTAGTTTGTGAGGATGCTGGAACTGGGGAGGAGAAACAGAAGTCAGTCAGCAGCCTGGAGCCTGGTGTTTAGAGTCTGAAAGAACCAGTTTTCTAGAAAGGTCAGTAATAATCTCTGTATGAAATATTAGATCATAAGAAAAATAGAACAAATCACTCTGTTAGGAAGAGACAATGTGAATCTAAGTGCAAAATACACACTGTGTCTAGGGATCCCCAGGAAGAATCTAGTTTTTTTCATTTGTCCCTTGTCAGAATCACTGAAATATAGGAAACACCTCTCCCTCTCTTTTAACCATCATCCTGTTAAAGTTGAATTCTGCCATGTTCACTTTATGAAAATTGCCCCTGCAAAGGTCACTGATGAAATTTTTATTGCTGAATCCAGCTTCCTTTCCACCTAGATATCTCTGGTGCACCTAATACTACTGGACACTGCTTTCTGAAAAGTTGTACTAGCTTGGTTTCCATGACACCACACACACTGTTCTCTCAGACCCCAACTCTTCTCTTGTCTTCAAATATATGAACGTAAATGTTCCCTCAAATCAGTGTTGGGCCCCTGACATATTCTCTTTTCTCTCTTCCACTGCCAGAGACAATCACTTGTTTCATCATTATTTATAGGATAATTCCTCTGAAGTCTGTATTTCTAAACCTAAGTGGCAGTCATAGACCTCTAACTCTCTGCTGCCTTTTCTTCTGTTAGGTCACACTATCACTTCAAGGTTAGCACTTTGAACCCAACATATTTCCTCTGTCTTCTCCCAGTGGGCTCTCTATAGTCTCATCCACAGCAGTAACATTTTATCTTTCCAAATGACTTGTGCTACACTTTGGATATATTCCCCAAAGTTCCAACTTATTTCCCCAAAGTCACATGGCAGTGGAGCCTTTTGGAAATGATTAGTTATTTGTAAATTATAAATTACTGGCTTATCTCTGGGTGCCTTTATTATTAAAAGCAAATTTTCTCTAGAATGATCACTCTGTTTCACCATTGGTGCCTTTTACCATAACATAACACAGCCAGAATGCTCTCTCCAGAGGCTAGCACCATGTTTTGAGACTACTTAGAGTCTATAACTGTGTTAAATAAACCTCTACTCATTATATATTACCTAGTCTGTGACATTCACTATAGCAACAGGAAATGATTTAAGATAGCAAGCAATTAAGTCTAGTTTGAGTTAACATCATACAGACCTTTATTCTCATCTTTTCTTGTGATTCCTTTTCTGTAAGTATGAGTGTATATATTTGATTTTATACAATTGCATAAGAGGGTGGCAATTACTTACTTTTAATTCTCAATTGCCCTTTTCTATCTAAATGTTCTTTAAATATTTTTGTAACTAACAGAACCCATGGGAAATAATTCTTAGTATTAAAGAGTCTTAGTACTGCCCCTCATCCACTTAAATCTCTT